AATTTCATGTATATAGATTGGGAAATTCTAGTCAAACGCTGAGGGAGAAAGGTTTTTGGAAACTGTTCAAGGTGGCTTTCTTCACCAATTAGTCAAGGAACGTACTAAAAACCATGCTATTTTAGATTTATTGTTAACCTCAAATATAGAAATGATCGAGAGGGTGGAAATTGGGGAACATCTGGGTACAAGTGATCATTGCTGTATTAGGTTTGATGTTTTTCTGCATATGGAGATAAGGAATAATATCATTTTGGTTACAATTTTCAAAAAAGCAAATTTAGAAGGGATGCAACAACAATTATCTGTTGTGAATTGGGCAGCTGAGTTATTTGGTGAAACTGATCAGATGTGGAAAATTTTTAAATATTCAAGATAAACATATTCAGGGTAGCTGCAGGTAAAAAACCTTTTTTCTTTGGTTTGTACTAACAAAGATTTAAGCAGTATTCGACATCTTGAACAGTTAATGAATGAAAACGAGATCAAACAAGATGACTGCATTAATTCTGAGCAGGACAAGAAAAAATTGGTAAGTTTAAAAAACAATAAGGCTCCTGGGCCAGATAATATTTCCCCAAGGGTTTTGAAGGAGGTTAAAGATTGGATATGTAAGCCACTTACTACTATTTTTTGTCAGTTCTTGAATAGTGGGCAGGTACCAAAGGATTGGAAGTTAGCTAATGTAACTCCTCTTTTCAAGGGAGGTGATAAAATTGTCCCAGTAATTATAGACCCATTAGTCTTACATCAGTTGTGGGAAAAGTTTTGGAAAGTCTATTAAAAGATGCTTTGCAACGTCATTTAACAAAATTTAGAATTTTATTGGATAGTCAACATTGTTTCACTAAGGGAAAATTTTGCCTTAAGAATCTTTTAACATTCTTTGAAAAGGTTACTGCTTATGTAGACGAGGGTAATGGTGTAGATTTGGTGTATCTGGATTTTCAGAAAGCATTTTACAAGATGCCACATAAATGGCTTGTAAACAAAATTATCTCTATAGATGTGGGGGATAAGTTAGCAAATTGGATAGAAGAGTGGGTGGATTGAAGAAAGGAGAAGGTTGTTACAAATGGAGTTCAGTCAAACTGGATTAATTTCACAAGTGGGGTACCTCAGGGCTCAGTCTTAGGACCTTTGCTCTTTTTTATTTACATCAAAGACACAGATGAAGGAATAGTCAATAAATTACTTAAATTTGCAGATGATATTAAGGTCTTGGGTGTTGCTAACTGTGAAGAGGATGCTGCTATTTACAAAAAGGATTTAGATCATTATTGAGTTGGGGAAGTAAATGTCAGATGGGTTTTAATTATAATAAATGAAAGATAATGCATGTGGGTTATCATAATTTGAATTATAAGTATAATTTGGATGGGAATAACCTTAATAGTGTTATGAAGGAAAGGGATCTTTGTGTAATAGTTGATCAGTCTCTAAAGCCATCCAAGCAGTGTGTTGTTGCTAGTTGTAGGGCAAGTAGGATTTTAGGTTGTATCTACAGAAATATTGAATATCAGTCTAAATAGGTTATAATTTCATTGTACAGGCCACTGGTTAGGCCTCATTTGGAATATTGTGTTCAGTCTTGGGCTCCTTATCTGTGGAAAGACATTGAGTCATTGGAAAAGATTCTGAGAAAGGTTACTAGAATAATGCCTGGGATGGAGGGGCTGACATATAAGGAGAGGCTGAAATCTCTCAAATTGTTTTCTCTTGAAAGAAAGAAAGAAGAGTTTGGGAGTATCTGATTGAGGTGTTTAAGATTGTAAAGGGTATTGATAGTGTTGATGCATCATCTTTTTTCATATTTAACAATGAGAATAGTAGGACTAGGGGACAGATATAAATTTTGATAAGGTAGGAGTCATCTTCAACTAAGACAGTTTCATTTTTCTAACAGGGTGGTTGGCCTTTGGAATGGGTTGCTTCAGATTTTGTAGAGGCGGTAAATTTAATTGAGTTTCAGAAAAAGCTTTATAAGTATATGAATGATAAGGGCTGGATTTAAGATTGTTTTTAATAATTTTAGTTTAGAAGATGTGGTTTTCTTAGTACTTTCTTGATCTGTTGAATGTAACTGCTGTCCTTTATTATTTGAATTACATATACATAAGGAGTGTACATTCAGAAGGGTTTTGGAAGCATATAAGATTACCTTAGATTCTGTCTGTAATTCATATTTAGATATATGATGTTGTACATAGTATCTCATTCATCACATTTAAATAAGCTTGGTTATGTAGCCTTCAGTTATATTAATTCATGTTTAAAATAGCTATTTACTATGTCTCCACAGAAAGACGTACTGTTTTTATGTTGTTCCTTCTTTCTTTCTTCCAAACATTTTTAAGTCAACTGCCATTCCTTCATTTCTTGGCAGATTGACTTGAAACACGGTAGGGTTATGTCTTGGTCCAATACATCCAATCACCTTTTTCATTTTAATGATTTTATGGGGTGAAAGGCCAAACAACCCAGAAATGTATATTTTGAGTTCCTGTGTGGTCATATTTGCAGCAATCGAGGTGAAAATTGGCAAAATTACAAATTTACACATTTTGAGTCTTTTTAGGGGATCAGAGCTCACAAAAGTGGCATAATTTTAGGGTTTGTGGTCAATTACTTAGCTGTATTTTAACCAGTTTACATGGGATGTGGTACAAAGATACTTTTCTACATTGACAAACAAAAATGTTGGGTTTACCAATTTTTAGTAATTATAGGAGAGTCAAGATGCCACAAAAAACATAATTTTAGGTTTTTTAAAAATTACTCTGTTGTATTTTGGCCAATTTACATGAGATTTGGAACAAAGATACTTTTTTACAAGTCTCAAACACAGATGTAGACAATTTTTGTCTTTTGTTTAATTTTTGAGCAAGAAAATCACAATTTGGGGCTTTCATGAACTATTCATGTATATGTCCTAACTTGCATGGGATATCTTATTGCAGGTCCCAAACAGTGATATAGACAGTTTTTGGTTTTTCTGGTGTGAAAATTGGCCGTGTTGAGATTGTTTGGTGGAGACATATTGCATTTGCTCATGAATGTTAGCCCCTTTAATTTAAATATGACTTTTGTTACGTATTGAAGTAAATGAGATGTAATAGTCCTACATGTGAGGATGATCATATTTTGGATATAAAAAAAAGTTTTTTCACCAGCAGTTTTCTATAGTTTTTGAAAAACATAATTAGTAAAGATTTTAATATTTTATAAACTAAATGTACAGTTATAAAATGAAAGTGTTAATTAGAGATTTTAATTTAATTTTAGGTAAATATTTCTTTAATACATAGAAACAATTAAGAAACATTTTACCTGAGCTAATGATAAGAAAGTTAATTTAAAATACTTTTTTTGGAAAATTAATTTTTGTTTTTAACTGTCTAACAGTTGTATTATTAATTTTATTTTTTAGCAACTTGTAAAGTCATTTGAAGTGTGCGATCTACCTGTAAGAGCAGCAAAGTTTGTGCCAAGGAAAAACTGGATCATAACTGGCTCAGTAAGTTTTCTTATGATGCAATGAACTCGTATCATGTAATTTTCTTTAAAGTATATTTTGACAGTTGTAAGGTAATTGGTGAACTACAGAAGTTGGTTTGACCACAGTTTTTATAATATGTATTTACTCAGGTTTTTACAGTGATTTCCTTTATAATATGTATAATTATTTTAAAACTATTAATATAAATACTTCAGTTGACTTTACTGAATCACTAAGATTTTTATATATTTTTTATGGTACTATGTACGTCTTTCACTTTGAGCAAGAATCATGTACATTGTTAATCATTGAGCTGTATTGTATTCAAGATCCTACCTGTTAAGTTTGAAATGTTTATGTCAGGTGATTTTGCTAGCAAATTGTTCATATGAAATTCTAGACTATATAGTCTTATAACACTAATGAAACAGATCTTGACTGCTGAACATAATATTTAATTTGTGTTGTTCTGGGTTAATAGAACCTAAAAAGTTAAGGTACAACAAGATTTAAACTTTCACTCATTTTCTATTAAATGAGAGCTAGTATAGAGGGAAAAACTTCACGCCTACATGATATTGATCTTTATCCTGTTGCAATGGGCTCATGTATTTTACATGACCTTGTAACCACCAGGAAGGTATACACACTATAACTCTGAAAGTTCTTAATGTATATTCACAAAATTTGGCAAACTTTCAGTAAACATTACAGTTCTTTTGTTTTAAAAAATCAATTTTTTTTTAATTAAGTAATTTTACTAAAAATTTGTTTGTAAATATATATATATATATAGTTAGTGTTGACTGCTCGATTGATGAACTAGACAATGCCCTGTACAGAAAACAATATAATATTAAATGTGAGAGAGAACTATTGACAATTTGTGAAAGATTGGGTGTGACTTGTGAGTGTGGCAAGTGGGTCTAATTTTGTAGTCTTTGGCTCTGTATACAAATAAGATTGAAAACTATAACTTATGATTTGCCTGAGTAATTTTTATACTATAATGAGTAACCTACATTAAACTGTACTTTTTTTGGAGGGGAGGTAAATAAATTAGAGAAGAGGGAAGACCTAGAGAGCAAATGTCACAATTGTCATACTAGGGAAGTTTGAGGATTGTTTTAAATATTTCCTAATAAAATTAAGAACTTAAAACTTATATTAAATTTTGATTTGTTAACTATGTTTTGATGCCAGTTTTATTCTAATACATTGATATTAAAGTAGTTTAATTTAATTGTGAATGTAAGTACATTACAACATGCATACTTTGACCTACCCTTTGCAAAAGGGGTAAAAGAGGAGAAACTGTAAAATAATAAAAGTAGTTGCAAAAATTGTTAGGGGAAATATTAGCCTAACTTATTTGTTTATTTTACTTACAAACTAAATTTCACACCATTTAAAGAACAATGTGTATAATATGTACACTTAATGAGTACAAATAACAGGGAACATGCAAACTGCATGATGGTAAAAGACATATTGTTCTGTAAGTGGTGTGAAATTCAGTTTGTAGGTAAAAATACAAGAAATAAGTTTTTAATCTAAAACTTTTCAAAAAATATGTATTTACTGAAAATTTTAGCAAATTATTATAGAAAAAGAATAAACTGAATTGTATTCTCTTGTTAAATAACCGAAACATCTCAAACATGAGATATTGGGCTTGTTCGTGTCAGACTAAGTTCAATTGATATTTCCATGCCTCTAATGATAATTTCAAATTTCTGCCAATAAACACCTTTTTTTTTCTTATTTTTACACAAAATGGAAATCAGTTTATTTTTCTTCTACAAAATGAGAAATACAACTAAACTGGAGAAACTTGCTGGAACTTTTGTAGTTATGTCACAGTGATTGTTCACACACTGTAGATAAGTAGACTGTAAAACTGTATCTGAACATTTCTATAGTTATGTTTCTGTTCTGAAATGCATACAGAAAGCATATGGACTGTCATTTCATATGCTATTGCAAGCAGAGCTGTTCTAGGAACAACTGTGTGATTGTAGCACAGCTTGGAAAAAAGTACATTGTCATATATATATATATATATATATCAATGTGTTTACAGACGGATTCAATTTTGTAATGTGTAAGTTGCATTTGTGTAGCTGTTTCTTTACAAATACTCTCAGTAGAGAGTTCCTGTATTGTTCTAAGTTGTTTCATGATAACAGTAGTTTCTACCTAGAAGAGAAACATCATATACTAAACAACTGTTTCCAGTCTCAGTAGGGAGTTCCTGTATTACTTTTGGTTGTTCTATGTATGATGGTTTCTACCTAGAAGAGAAACTTCATGTACTAAACAACTGTTTCCAATATCAGTAGGGAGTTCCTGTATTACTTTTGGTTGTTCTACATGTGATGGTTTCTACCTAGAAGAGAAACTTCATGGAACAACCAAAAGTAATACAGGAACTCCCTACTGAGACTGGAAACAGTTGTTTAGTACATGAAGTTTCTCTTCTAGGTAGAAACCATCATACATAGAACAACCAAAAGTAATACAGGAACTCCCTACTGAGATTGGAAACAGTTGTTTAGTATATGAAGTTTCTCTTCTAGGTAGAAACCATCATACGTAGAACAACCAAAAGTAATACAGGAACTCCCTACTGAGATTGGAAACAGTTGTTTAGTATATGAAGTTTCTCTTCTAGGTAGAAACCATCATACGTAGAACAACCAAAAGTAATACAGGAACTCCCTACTGAGATTGGAAACAGTTGTTTAGTACATGATGTTTCTCTTCTAGGTAGAAACCATCATACGTAGAACAACCAAAAGTAATACAGGAACTCCCTACTGAGATTGGAAACAGTTGTTTAGTATACATATGATGGTTTCTACCTAGAAGAGAAACTTCATGTACTAAACAACTGTTTACTGGTTTCTTTCATTACTAAAGAAAAAGACGGAAAAATGTTTTTTTCCTTCTTACCTATTATGAATTCTCAAGTGATAGTAACTTCTAAACATTAACAGCTTTATAAACACAAATTAAATAATGAAAAACAAACATGAAATATGAAGATGATTACCCCATCTAGTTTAAGCATACCACATTTTCAAGGGTATACTGTGTGGGTGTACAGCAACAGCTTGCAAGTGTTGTTTTCTTGGTCTGATTTCTTCATACATATTAAGTTAAAAGCCCATATCATCGTTTATTAGTTTGTCTGCATTCTTGTGTATTTAAATAGCTTCTCTAATATTTCTTAGGTGAAAATTTTAGGTTCTGCAATGAATTTTGTTTCTGTGAATTTGATTATGTGGTCATTTAGGTATACATGAGCAGCGACGATGACTGATTTTTCTATTTCCAAATGGCAGCAATGATCTTTCTGTTCTTTTATTCTCATGCTCCGTAACCTTTTACTTTGACCTATTTATATTTTGTTGCATGAGAATTGGATCAAATATATTCCTTGTTTCTGGAAACTGTTGATGGGGTCTTTCCCTTTATTTAGTTTACATGAATATTGTCCAGTAGGTTTAAAGGTTGGTTTGATTTGGTTGTTCAATAATTTATTTGTTTTATTTGAGATTTCCTGGTAATAAGGTAAACTATAGAGTTTGTTTTTTCCACATTATTTCCTTGGCTTTGTTTATAAAACTCCTTTTTGATTTTGTAGAACAACCTGTTAATTAAATTGGTATCAAATCCTCTTGATGTAGCAACATTTTTTAAGTAGTTGATTTCTTGTTCGATTTATTTTTGGTTTGAGCAGGTATTGAGCATGTGCCAAATTAATGTTTTATAAACATCAATTTTTTTGGTTGTATATATGATTTGATCTTTTGTGGGGGAATAGATTGATGCTGTTTGGATTTCGATAAACTTCTGTTTCAATTGTGTCATAGAAATTTCTTGTGATTAGAACATCTAACAAGGCAATTTTGTTATCACTTTTGGCGTCATAAGTGAACTTTATGGAAGAATCAATGGAATTGAATAAGCCATTAAATTTCCTTAACCAGCGGTTGTCTTTGGGTTTTACAGTGAAAGTGTCATCTACATAGTGTGTGTGTGTGTGTGTGTGTGTGTGTATAAATATGGTTTTAGTAGTACTTGGTTGAACAATTTGTATTTGTCAGAATTTAAAATATAATTCTTCACCAATTGTTAGAATTTAAAGGCTTTTAGTTATATTTCTTAATAGTATAAATATGTACTATGCTGTTGTTGGGCTCAGGATTCTTAGGTGTCTGTGAGTTGTTAACGATAAATTCAACGATGAATAAACAGCACGCACTTCAATTGTTTTGAAAATAATGTATATATTCAGAACAAGTTAACATATGTACAATAAATTCTTCAACACTATAGATATTATGGACATATAAATACTATATACGTAGTTCTCTCCTTGTCAAATATCCACTTAGGCCTACTCAATTACTTTAGAATTTCAGTTCACAAGTCCAACTATCTTCTCTGTTTCTATTGCATTAGTATTCTCTGTAATTCACTTACAATTGTGGCACGAGTTACCATAATCATTTGATCTTCTTTCTTTTGAAGATCCTCTGTTCCTTTTGTCAAAGTGTACTCAGGCTGATTCAAATACTTTAGGACCACGCTTTGATGGAATAAAATTAATTTTCTTATTTGCTTTTCTACTGTTAGTTTCACTCTAATATATCAAATATTAGGTCTATGTCAATTGTTAGGTCTATCACTTCCACGGTTAACTTCACACCAACTTTATTCTCTTTTGCTATTATATGTCTGTCTGTTGCTTCCCGCTCATCTCACACTATTTATATCATTATCACTTACTCGTTTGTCCGTCTTCTTTATTCTCAACGTCAATGAATTATTAACAAAACTTCCTACATTTGTCAGTTTTTAACTCTTATTATAACAAAACTTAAAAATAATAAAATATTCACTCACAAAAATAAATTAATCAATAATATTTAAACCAAACAGTCTTTATATCATGACAGTATTCAAAGTCATCCATGAAAATGTCACAGATGAGATGTGATAGAGGTCTTCCCATGCTGAGTTCTTGATTCTGTTGATGATGTTCGTTGTTGAATTGAAAATAGGAGTTGTTAAGACATAATTTAATAGGGTAATGATTTCTTCTTTTTTTTTCTGGACGTGTGCTTGCCTCATCAAGCTTTTTTGGTAAAACATCTAGAGCATGAGTTAATGGAACTTTTGTGAACAAAATTTTTGCATCAAATGATACCATGTATTTATTTTTCAGATTGATGATTTTTATCTTTGAAACAAAATCCTTGGATTTCTTTACAGTGTACTTATGTAAGTCTTGTAGAAATGACGGTCATTGAACGTATAAATATAAGAACATAAAGATCATTGCTGCCATTTGAAAATAGAATAATCAGCCATTGCTTATCTCCTCCATGATTAATGGTGTGTGTGTGTATACTTCAACCAAAACTGTGGCCTCTGGTTAATTCAAAACATTTATGATATATTGAAAAAAGCTTAATTATGGAACAATTGATAAATGTAATAAAAAAGCCAAATGATTGTTGGATTGAAGAACTGTGACAACAGTGAGTATCTAGAATGTGTTCCAGGTCATTCTACTGGTCACTTCCAGTATAAATTTGGTGTTCTTTTATTCCAGTCTTACCTTTGACAAATGAAGAACAATCTTAGCTAACAAAGAGGACATTCTACATACCATTTTTTTTCTGTAAATAAGACAATACCTATACTCTCAAGCCTAACTGGAACGTGTACACTAAATTTTATAAAGACCCAATCAATGTAAAGTAAATGAGTACTTTAATTGAAATAATGAAAGTTTTCATCTTTGTTTGATTTTAACATAATTGCTTTTTTTTATTTTGTGGGTTGATATAAGCTATGTAATGTTAATGTACATTGTTTTTTATGTCTTTTTGATTTCATAACTGTGGATTACTTAAAACCACACAACTCTAGAATATCAAGTATATATTTTTAAGTCAACTGAAAGTGTAAACTAGGTTGTTCAATAGTTTTAGATTCTTTAATAGAAATGGTTTCTACTCTATAGACTTTTATTTAAGAACCATTATTCTTACAACTTTGAATGTTACATCTGTGGTTTCAGACAGCTTATTGAAAGAAAGTAGTCACTGAATTATCCTTTTTTTGCTATTTTCATGCTGAACAATGTGAAGGTTAGATCGTATTATATATATATATATATATATATATATATATATATAATTACTAACACGTCCGTAGGTAGGTAGGGTATTCTTCACACAGTATACACATTGTTATTGTCTACCTATTTATTAGTTTACTTTAAGTAAATAC